AAAAAAAAAAAAAAAAAAAGAAGAAGAAGAAAAAGAAGAAGAAGCCCTAAATCAATCATTTAATGTGCTGAGCGATGTGACTGAAAAATTCAAGGTATTATTGGAGCAACAAGAGTCACCTAAACTAGCCATTTAAAAAGTTACCAGGTCAACTTTCAATAAAACAGTATTTTTACTTAACCAACTGGTATTAGGAAATCAGTTCGGTTATGTTAACTGTTACAGTGGCACCTCAGTTCACAAACACTTTTGTTTGCAAACAATTTGGCTCACAAACACAAGTGTTCAGCAAAATTTTGTTTCTGTTTGCAAACTATGCATCAGATGACAAACACAGCTGTGGTCATCTTTCCCACGCAAATGTAGCCCCCTTTTCCAAAACTGTAGAACAAATTAAATTCATGAACTGAGGTGCCACTGTACACTTATAACTTAAAGAAAGAGCTTACTTATAAATTGCAATGTATTTATAAGCTAATATGAGATATAAATCAAACACTATCAATTTGAGTTTGTTAAAAATACTCTAGCTAAATTAACCAGACTCATCAGACTTTACAGTTATTATAACACTAAGATTTCAATTCAATTTAACTCGTTTACTATAAAATAATGCCAACCAATGACAGCCCTAAAATACAGTTATCATTACTACAAAATTAATGATCTGAAATTGATATGGTAAGTGAATTCTTTGGGCATTTGGTTTCATTTGGGCTGTGTTTTACTTAGGGATGGCTTTACTTACCACTAGAAACTGAAATCAAATATATTCTTAATACCCACACAACGTAAATTAAGGAGAAAGAGTGTCAGTATCTGGGTAATTATTAAATAAGCTAATATATGACAAACTGATCATTAAGGGGATCTCTAATCATGCTGGTAATATTCAAACTTGATACAGAAGACAGAGTAGAAATCAGCAACCAAGACTAATATTTGGTACCAGATGTAAGCACCTTAAGAACTAATTTTTAAAATATATAAATTCTATAGAGTATTAAATAAAAAATGACATGAGTGCTATATCCTAGTTGCAAATTATTAGAATATTCATCCTTTAGTAGAACGTAAGGGTGTTAGGTGGGTATCAAGCACCATAATAACCATTATTATATTTATTAAAAAATTCGTGAAGGCTGAGAATGTGGCTTGGTGATAGAGAGCTTGTTTGCCATACACCAGGCACTGGTTTCAATTGCTAGTGCTACAAAAACAAACACAAACCCCTCCAAAAATTACTATAACCTATCCAAAAATGCCATTCACACTGCTCTGCCATTTATCACTCTAAAATCCGAAGAAGATACACTAATAGCCAGAATACACGAGATCTTCTGAAGCAAGAAAACCAATTAGTATTTTAGTCAATTAGTTCAAGTCAATGAACTCAATCTTAATCCCAGCGTAAAACTGAAAAATAAACTTACTTTATTATCTTATACTTTGTATTAAACTATAGAAACGAATCCCTGAAGAGGCAATGAAAACACAAAGAATGTCTTGTATTTGCAACTGTTGTAGGAAATGTTTCCTAGTAACAAACAGGAAATAATTATTCCATCCAAAATATTCTATCTTCTGAAAGATTTGACTACTTACAAAAATTAAAAGAGAAGCAAAGAGTAAGCTGAGTGAGGGGGCACATGCCTATAATCCTAGCTACTCCGCAGGCTGGAACAGTAGGTAACGTTTGAGGCCAGCCTGCACGACCTGGCGAAAACGTGCCTCTAAGTAAAAGTAAAAGTAAAAGTAAAAGTAAAAGTAAAAAGAACCGGGGATGTAGCTCAGTGGGAGAATGCTTCCCTAGCACCCATAAGGCCCTGGTTTGACCCTCAGTACTTAAAAAAAAAAAAAAAAAAAAAAGTGAAGGCATTTTTATTATTCTCTTATTTTTATTATTATTTTCAAGCAATTATAAAAATTTGAACTTAATTACAAACATTCTTAGAAACAGAACTCTAATACAAATAGCCTGAATTAAATGAAAATTTACAAGCAGAAAAATTCCATGCAATTAGAAAAATAAGGGGTGAGAGGATAGGTACAATTTGAGTTTTATAGTACATAACCAGACTTTGCAAATGAAAAATATGAGCTGTAGGCAAATAACTAGGTCACTGACTATAGAAATGTTAACTAATTAAACAGTACCTTGTTTTCCAATGTAATCTCCTTAACTGCTTCAGTTATTCCTGTAATACCTGTTTAAAAATTCAGGAGAATATAACTAAAATTAAGCTGTAAAAGTCTACTTGAAGAAAGCAACATAAAAGCACTTAAAATCATCTAAATGCTCACTTCTCCAAAGTTAACAGGCAAATATTAACGAAACCGTTAAATACATAACCCAAGGTATATATCCTCAAGCTCAAATAAAAAACATACTAAATTCATATTTTACCATGAATTACCCTACTCTATCATTGCCCATTTACCATCCCTAATGTACTGTAGTACAATACAGTATAAGTGAACACATTAAAAGATTATAGGACTTATTTAATTCAACCTGTATCAGAATTTTCTCACTAGATATTGGTATGTAAATGTGCTACTTGCTTCAGAAATCTAAGACATCCAAAGGTACTATCACGGTAACACATTTATATGGGGCATACTACTTATTGTTTCCACAGTAAGGATCTTATTTAATCCTTATAAACATTATCCTGTGAGGTAGTTAAGGCTAATAACTTCTCCCTATGTAGAAATGAAGTCACCAGAGAGGTGACATGACCTGAGTTTCATACCCAGGTATGCAGATGCTGAGATTAAAATCCTGATAAGCAGACTGTTGTTTCACTGATTTTCCACTCCTCCTCGATAAACAAATTCCATAGAAATGACCTGTCTCAACAAGATTATTCTGAAGGTGGAATAACCAGTAGACTAGAAAATATTTCTAAGTCAAAATACCTTGTCAGTGTTTTTAGTTTAACAAAGATGAAAAATTCAGAAAGACAGAAGTAGCTAAAGTTATTACAAGAAAAAAAAAACTAAATACAAAATATGTTTAGTCATAATATGCCAAATATATTTTGCTGGTATTTTAAAACTTTGATGAAAAGTCTAACATGCTAAAACAAAGAATAAACAGCATATGCAGGCATACACTTATAAAATCTTTAAATTTAGTTTAAATAGCAAATATTTATTTAACAACTTTTCCATCAAACACTGATAAATATGGAAGATTCAAGAATGAATCTCTCCTTTCATAAAGCTTGCAATTTAACTTCTTTTAATAATTGTTCAATAAATATTAAATACTCATAGATTCCAGTTCTCTGGATAAAATAAATAAGATTACTGTACAGTTGCTGTCACAAAGGAGCTCGTAACTCAGAAATGTGATGACATATAAGGAAGATTCTAAAACATAGCATGCATAGTTAGTAGTTTTTATTGGCTTTAATCTTTCCTCTCTTCATTTAGAAATAATGGTAATAATATAGCTATTTTCAAATTGTCACTGAAGTAGCCAGTACTGTAAAAATCTAGTATACCCGAAGGACTCTTTTTAATTTGTTCTATTTCCTTCAGGTAAAAATCTACTGGGACAAAACAGTGCCTTCTCTATCCTCTTCTTTTTTAATCAAGACTGTTACAAAAGATTGTGAAAGAGTTGAAAACAGTTTGTACTAAATATACATCAGTCTCCTCTTACCTGTGTTGTGATATGTATCTACCCATCCCCCATCACCATCATCTTCTTCAATGATAGCTTCCAATTCATCTGAATATTCCATCTGTTTGCAGCGTTTGTAGCATGGCACTATTAAAAAATGGTAAACACAGTTATTTGCATATAATCGACTAATCATTGATCTATTAGAATAAGCTTATTTCATGAAATGATATTTATATTACCAAAATATTAAATGACTGTATTTCACTTCTAATGAAATCCATTAATTTAAGAATTATACTCAGCCTACAGACACGTAATTATTTAGCTACATTAAACTTTCCCTAAATTGCTTTGTTAGAAGACGAGCAGAATGCCTTTGGTGTGAGTTTTCTATGTATTCCTTTACCATGATGGTCTGTGAAGAGCAGCTAATGCCAGATGACACTGTTTAATTCACACTAATACAACCTTAAATTACTATTTTACTCTCAGAACAAGAAAGTACCATTTATCATACTCAGAGGTGGTACAGGTGATCTCTAGTTATGACACTGAAACAGTTGTCAATATTAATTTTATAAGTCATATTTAAGTTTTAGTTATTCACAATGGATAAACAGTATAAAATTCAACATATTGCTAAATTTTACTTCCTTAGACAATGACTAGCACCGAATTTTTCATATAACAAAAGCATCAATTAACAAATATTATTATTCATAATTCTAAAATTGAGCAATTATAGGGTAAAAACAAAATGTGGGGTAAAGCTGCTATTACTCTTCTTTTTTATATAGTTTTTTATTATATTTATTTGTAAAAATAAATGTATTCTGTAGGGGAAAAATTGCTGTTTTTTACAGTATTACTATACAAGGTAAGTTAGAACAGAAATCAATGTATTCTTATGTCACTATTTAAGGACTATCACAACCTTTTAATTTTTTTTAAAATTAATATATATATAGCGCAAAACACATTCTGTACCTCAACGGCACAAAGAATAATAAAATCTTTTAATTTAGAGGTTAAGATGTCAAGATACTATCAATTTCATTTTCCATGAAAAATTTACATTGAAAGATTAAAATGAAATAGCTAAAAATGAATATGAGGTCAACTTCAAAAAAAATCTTTTTTAGGAAAAATCTAGCTTTTCTTAGAGCCTTCTTTTATATCTTGCCAACTGAATCTTTTTGCAACCCCCAAAAACAGTTAAAGAAGAGATACAAATCAAAGAAGAAACGGAATACTACAGAAATAGAAAACATAAAAAAGGTTTACTAAATCTCCAAATTTCTAAGCACATCTTCAGGTACAAGTTAGGTTGAGTAAGGATAAAGTTATTGTTATTCCTTTTAATGTAACTGCAAAATTTATAAATGTATACAATATAATTCTTACCATTTTTGGTTACCAAAAATTGTTTGCCTGTTGGTAGGTAGGCCTTCACTTTTAATTCTTCTCCTGTGGCCCTTTAAAAACAGGAGAAAGGATCAAAGTACAAATATATTTTAAAAGTCAAATATGGATGATTTCACACATAAAAACTATAAATTATATTAAATTCTGCTTTAAGATTGGCTGGAGAATGATGCCATTGATTGACGTGGTAGGTTACAGAAAAACATGAAGATAATGTAAGTGAAATATACTCAGAGATACAGACAAAAAATCCAGGGTAATAGTTTAAGCAACTAGTATGTCTAAAGAAAATGAATGTGCTACTCCTTAGTAAATATAATCTTTCAGGTTTTTAATCCTAATGTACTGTTTATCTTAGATTTTTAATTTTAATGTAGTATTCATCTTGAAATCAAGAGGCAAAAAAAAAGCTACATGACATTACATAATAAAGTGGGTGGCTGGCAAGATCCCCATTCCTACCACTTTATTAAAATTGAACCTAAGAGGCAAAAAATGTTTGACTCACAAGATGATAATGCTTAAAACCATTTTATCAGATGCTCAGTAAGTATAGGACCAGAAGGTTAATATGCATTAGCATCAATTCTCGTAACTCTAAAAGGTAGGTACTATCAATATTCCCATTTTATAGGTCAGTAAACTAAAGCTTAAAGGGGTCAAGTTGCCTGGAGATACAAAACTAGGTCAGAAGAGTCAGGATCAAGTCAATTAACTTCAGAGGTCGTGTGTGTGTGTGTGTGTGTGTGTGTGTGTGTGTCTGTGTCTGTGTGTGTCTGTGTGTGTGTGTCTGTGTGTGTGTAGCAGTGGGGCCTGAATCCAGGGCCATACCAGGCTAGGCAAGCAATGTACACCTTAGCTACATCCCTACTTTGTAAACTTCAAGACAAGCTCTCACTAACTTTCCCAGACTAACCTCTAGTTTGTGAACCTCACTGCCTCAGCTGTCCAAGTAGTTGGATTACTGGCATAGGCCACCACACCTGGCTTTAGGGTTTCTATTCTTAAACTCTGTGGATGAAGACCAGCTGCAACATTCCTAAGCTATTCTAACATCTCATAATAAGAACTTGTTCACACACCCCTCTGTGGGCCATCCACTAAACTTGACCAGAATAGTGGTGGGATGTGGTGTCTCACAAACATATGAGCATAAACATGGAGTGCAATTGGCTTTTAAAGCGTTAGATTAACTTTCCAACCACAGATTTTAGCACAAAATACACCCATGAAATGCCCTGATATCATCTGACAGCCTTTCAGGCTTCTTTTAACTAATCACATGTGTTAAATTCAACATGATGGCAATGCCTGAAGTTCTGAGAGAAGTGAAAACAAGGTCATGACAGCACTTGTCTGCGTAAAGGTATTAGCACGGAAATAATCTTGTCTCTTGCACTGACTTAAAATTTATTATTCCTTTGGACCCACCAACTCAGGCAGAAGTATGGACAATGGAGTAGGTATAAATAAGCTCATGGTACAAAAAAAAAATTGTTTCACCAATCAGAATTCATAAACTAGAACTCTAAACACTTGCTATAAGATATATATACACACACACACACACACACACAATTTCATCTAACACAATGCTATAAACCAAATACTTCAACTTTTTAGACAAGTTTAAAGGCTACCACAAAGAAATCTCAGTAAGGAAAATGAGTATCTACCATACTGAAGACAATCCTAAATCAGCTCTCTTCACAAAAATCATCATTACAATGAATTTTTATACCTATTTGACTTCAAATATATACAAATTATATGCCAGAGCCTGGTCTGAACTGAAAATTTAGGATGGGAGGGGGGCACTAAATCAGAGCTTCTATGATATGAACTGAATTTTTTAAAATTTGAAACAGAAATAAACATAAAAAAGAAAAAGATAAATATAAATGAGGCTGATTATTTTGGCCTTACTTGGCATATACGAAATAATGTTCTGTAAGATAAAAAGCGTCTGATAAAAAGCAGTGACAACAGGTACACGTCAGATATAAAAATGAATAACAGATCACAATAGTGTTGGAACTCTGGTTTAAAATACTAATTTCTTTAGAGATTAAGAAAAATATCAATTAAAGCATTTTTAATGCCAGAACCCTTGCTCCTAATCAAACTGTACCTTTCAATTACAGCTGAAAAATGCCATTAAGAAACAAACAAGCAGTTGCTATGGCACATGCCTGCAATTTCAGCTACTCAGCAGGCTGAGGCAGGATGATAGCAAGTTTCTGGGCAACTTAGCAAGGCCTTGTCTCAATACAGAAAGGGCTAGGAATGTACCTTAGTATGCCCTAGGTTCAATCCTCAGTATCATACACAAAACTTAAAAAAGAAATAACATGTTGAAGCAGTTATATCAAAACAAGTTCACAAATTCCAAAACAGTTCTGCCAGTATTAGGATTATTTTAAAGAAGTGCTTAACATTAGTATTTTTGAAAATAATGAAAATGCATTTGTTTCAAAACACTGTTGTTATTCATATTTTAAAATATATACTATACTACTTTAGTAATTAAGAATTAATGAACAAAATAAAATCTGAAGTCCATTATAAGCAAATTTATAGTTAAGTCTTCTAATGAACATTTAAGGTCTTCTAATGAACATTAAGTCTTAACATTAAGTTAAGACTCTAATTGCTGAAGAGAAAAATGTAACTTTTAACCTTAAAAGAAGTGTCTATGTTTCAGGACTTAGAGAACACATAAAACTCCCCAGAAAATGTATGTAAAAAATGTTTGATAAACATTTATTAATTTAAAAAAGAAGAAATTGATCAAATTTATTAAACTCCTGAATGTTATTTTTTGAGGAACTACAAGATCTGACTTGGAGACTACAAAGGCAATGCTCATAAAGAGAAAAAAGGATTTATCTCCAACATGTCTTTAGTTCTATAAGGATAAAATAAGTTAGATTTCACACCCACTTTTCTTCCTTTATTTTAAGTATCACTGAGGTACTATTTAACAGAGAGTTTTGAAAGAGAGCTCATTAAATTTGTCATCATAATTTTCATGCACTAATCATAACTCTAAAGTTTATTCCCTTTAAGTACACTTACCATTGCCACGTTGGGCAGTGGTGGACTAAGTGATCTCCAGCTGCCACAAACTTCAGGATGTAGGAATTAAAAAGAGGTAAAAGAAAAATTAATCACTGAATACAGGCTGGCAAAATATCAAACAGATTACCCTGGGTAACCTTTACACCTAATAATTAAAATGCAAACCAAACCTACTTTATCAAACTGAAGATTTATTTTTATTATTCATCTGTAAAAGTTTTAAACATCTATGAAAATTGAAATTAATTTTGAAAGTATTTTTTAATTCAATAACACTAAGTGCTATTTTTAATTCAATTTTATCATTTTACGAAATGCCCAAAACATACAGTATCATTAAACTAATAAGGGTAAGGCTACAGAATCTAAGATGTCACGATCCACTTTATGGATGAATAAAATGTACAGAGAATTGTGCTGACTTAAAACTCAACTGCAGTCTTTGGAAATATTAGTAACAGATACAGGGCTATGATGTAAATCTTCATCACAACACATCAGTATATGTTTTGGGTTTTGTCCAATGCTGAAGACTGAACTCAGGGTCTTGGTGCATGGTAGGCAAGCATGCTATCACTGAGTTATATACCCAGCGTTCTATTTTATCTTTTCATTTAAGTAATGACCAGTTCTGAAAGCTTTATACATTCTTAACGCAATTATTAACAAGTCAAACAAATGTAGTGCCTAACAACAAGAAAAAAAATTCTTGGATGGACAAATTAAGAAACTGAACCTTCTAACAATCTTCAGCTTTCTGGGCAGACTGAACACTGTACAAACTTTTGGTTTTCTTTAGAAATAAAAGACTCACAAAGCAGCAGTTTAATCTTTTGAGAATTTCCAGTTTACATGGACATAATGTGACCTTACTGAAGGACAAAATTCTTCAGTTTTAAGAAAAAAAGTGAAAGTCTTTAAGCATAATGAGTGTCCCAACGCAAGCAGTATGTGTACACACTTTCTCAATTACCTCTATTTCACAACAGCGGTGACTTAAAATCCTGTACTGTTCAGGGGTTTGTTACACAGGGAAAAAAGTACAATACATTTTGTCTTTTAATGCCTTTCTGAGAAAGTATGCTCACATAAAATACTGTACTTTTAGACAATAAAATTCCACCAAATAAGAACTTTCAGAATAACCTCTTTGACAATGGTACATTATCAAAATGAGATACAGCAACTGTACTCCCAACAGAAAGTGTAGAAACGTTTCTGTTCTTTCATTTAAAAGATATCTTTTATTATTTAAACTTACTAAATTAAGACAAGAAGAAAACAAAATCAATAATCTCTACTTCAAGTTTTAAGCATTTTGGGGTTCAATGGAATCAAACACTACGTTTAACTCTGTGGTTATCTGTAACTAATTTATCACCACCAAAATTATTAACAAAATACATGCAAATAATTCATTAAAAATTATTTAATTACATTATATTGCCTTGAAGTCACGTGACTAATTGTATTCTGAATCCAGCCTCATGGTGTCTATTAAAAAAATAACAACAGGGCTGGGGATTTAGCTCAGCGGCAAAAGCGCCTGCCTGGCAAGCGCAAGGTCATGACTTCGGTTCCCGGTACGGAAAAAAACCAAAAAAAAAAAAAAAAAAAACAACAAAAACCTAAAAAGAAAAAACCATCTAAAAACACAGAACTGCAGTTCTAATTAGCACATGCATGCATTTGCCCTCATTAGCAACAGCCATTATTATTTGCTTTATATATTCAAGTAACACGTAAGATAGTCAAATTTCAAATCATCAACATTGTTTGCAGCAGCTTTCTCTTAGTGTTTACTCTCTTGTGAGATTATCAATAAGTAACTCCAATAAGATAGAATCAGTATTCACATTTTGGTGAGCAACTTTATTCCTCAATCTATCCTCTATTAATACAACTCAAAAAAAACACCAGTGATATTTTTTTCAGACAGTGCAATGTTAGACTTTTTAAGCACAAAGACTTTGACAACTCTCACACAAAATGCTGGCCACCGACAGGCGGAAGTTTGAAAGCTTTACTCAGGAGCAGCAGGAAGAAACAAAGCAAATCAAGGCAGTGCAGCTTATCCAGGGTAAATGCTGCCTTTCACTTTTCTCCTTCCGGCTCTTTCTAATCTCCCTCAATCCCATAATGGTGCTGTACTCTCCTAGCAGTATACGCTTGGTACCCAACTGGGTCAGTTCTGCCTTGCATTTTTTTTTGTAAAAGGAAATCCCTAACTCATCATGAGTGTAACAGTTCATTTTAGGATTTCTGTTTTAAAACAGCTGAGTTACAGCCAACAACCACAGACCCGCATGTCTAACCTGAACTACCTAACAGTTACTCATCTTCACACAATGGTGATAAAATTGCCTCATCTATGCTCTTGATTTCAGATAGTATTACTTACAAAGCCATGTCTAAATTATACTGTTACTGGGCAAGAATGACAGCTTTAAAATCAAAACTTTTAGCATTCAAGGTATTATACTCATGAAGCCTACAACAAAATACGACCTTCAGAAAATCTCTAGTCTGAACCCTAAATCTTAGGTATGAGGAAACATGAGGCCCTTCCCCAGATAGCTTAATTTATTTGCCTAAGTATTAGAGAAATAGAAACCAAAACAGGGCTGGGCAAGGTGGCACACACCTATAATCCCAGCACTTGGGAGGCTGAGGCAAAGGGATCACCATGCATCCCAGGGCAGCCTGAGATACACAGTAAGTTCAAACTCAGCTTGAACTACACCGTGAGACTCTGTCCCCAAAAAAAAACAAAAACAAAGAAAGCAAGTTCTTTTCACACCACCATGTATCTTTACTAAAAAGTTTCAGATAAAAGATCAGGTCAGCAAAACATTCTTAAAACTCAAAAGTACTTGGGACCGGACAGGGCCCATGGTATACGAAAATCTGAAGATCAATTATTCTGGACGTGAGGTCTTGACACTTACAGTCCTAAAGCAGCCTCATACTACAACACAGTTGATTTCAAAATATTTCTTTCAAAACAACACAATTCTAGTGCCAGTGACTGGTGTTTTCAGTGAGTTAAAGATCAAGCTTAAATTCTTTACCTGTTATTAAGAACACAACAAGTCTGACCCAATCATAACTATTCATAAAACTGAAGGTTTGTTTTTGTTTTGTTTTGTTTTTTTTGTCTTTTTGAGGCAGAGTCTCACTATGCAGTTCAGGCTGGCCTTAACCTCACTTTGCAGCCCAGGTTGGCCTTGAACTTACAATGATCCTCCTGCCTCAGACGCCCGAGTGCTGGGATTATAGGCATGCACTACCATGCCCAGCTTAAAACTGAAACTTAAAAGGATTTTTAGCATAGTATTTATTTTCCCAGGAATAAACCACGCCAATGAAACAAAACTCTTTCATAACACAAATTTGGCAAACAAGTGAAATGTTTCCTCAAAAAAATAATTCTGTCATAAAAGTTCAATAAGCCAGGCATGGTGGCTTATATGCCTGTAATTCCAGGGCTGGGGGAGGCTGAGGCAAGAGGATTGCAAGCTCAATCCCCACATGGGCAACTTAGGGAGATCCTGTCTCAGTATAAAAAGGCCTGGGCACATAGCTCAGTGTGAACACACTGGGCTGAATCCCCAGTACTGCACTCCCCCCCTGCCCCCAAAAATCAATAAAACACAACTGGCCAATAAAATATTAACCAATTTCAAAATTACTTCTTTAGTTAAAAAAGTGAGAAAATCAATAGCAGGAATCTAACAAGTACAATATTTAGGCTGAATACTATATTAAGGGAGAATTTAATAATCGAGCAGTGAACAAAATTTACAAGTGGAAAACTATGAAAATTCATTTAGTGTAGCAAATCCACAACACAGCAAACACTACCGAGCCCACTGCACAGCTCAATATAATAAAAAGGTGAGTAAAGTGTAAGTGACCATAGGAATCTTTTCCATTCCCTCTTGAACCCTCATTTCTAAATGAACAGGAACTTCAGAGAAATACGAGAAGTGGCAAACTGAGAAGGAAGTTACATCTTCTAGTCTATGGGAAGTACAAACACTTATAAGTCAGTATATAATTAGCAAAATCTAATTCGACTCAAGTCAGAAAGTTCAAGACATTTTCTTATAAAGCAGAGAAAGAAACCGCCCAGTTTAATATATTGCAAATTATAAAAGCTTCAGAATATCTTCAACACTCACCTCTTCTGGGGTGATTACACCTGTTTCCTTAAATTTTGATTCCTAAAGAACACAAAAACAGTAATAGTATTACATCTTTTACTTTCAACTAAAACGTGCTGTGGGGGCAACTATTTGCCTGGAACACTTCTAGGCAATAGAGCACATACAAAATATGTATGTACTGCGTATACCTTGTATAAGTATCACTGGTACCTGACTACAATAATGTATTAGCTGTATGTATGCATCACTGATACTTCACTACAGTGATATACAAGCCTAATGTAAGAAACGGACATGAAAATAATTACAATACAATTCTAGCAGAGCTATAACAAAGAGTTCTAAGAAAAAAAAAAGGTTTCAAGAAACATGAAGTCTTACAGTGACTTTGTGCAATGAACATACATCTTTAGTTCACAATAGCACAAAAATCTCTTAAAGATGCGTAAATATTCTACAACTCAGCCAATGCCTAAGTCAAACCAACTAACATTAGAAACCAAAAGTAGAAATTGCTTAATATGTCATTATGCTCATTTCCACCAAGACTGTAAAACAATATTCTTTCCTCTAACCGATGCTATTTACTAAATTTTTCTAAATTTATGAGATTTTGTAGTAATCTGCAAATGTTCAGAATGAACATTATTCACTCAACATCTATGTACTAACTACCAAGCATCAGGCAGTTTGAGGCAGTACAATATAGGTGTAAATGAAATACATAAACTCATCCTTGCCGTCAAAAGGAGCTTAATTTCTACCTGAGGAACAAATGTGCCCCAAATCATTAAGAAAAATGAAACAGAGAGGAAACTGTTGGGTGGTGGGGGAGAGATGGCCATTAAAAAGACAATGGTAAGCCAGGCCTGGTGGCGCGTGCCTGTAATCCCCAGCTCTCCAGAGGTGTGAGTTTTAGACCAGCCTGTGAGCTTAAGGCCAGCCTGAACTACACAACAAGACCCTGTCTCAAAAAGACCAAAAAAAAAGGCAATGATAAGATGATAAAAGACTTTAATAAAAGCTTGAACATCTAACCTAAGTAAATGAACAAGCCATAAGACTATCTATAGGAAAGTATTTCAGAAGTGAGTAAATGCGAAAAGTCAGATGTAAGACTGCTTGAAGGAGTACCAAGGAGGCCAGGTGGGCTCTTTCGAAGGAGTGATCCTGGAACTCAGAAGCGGTTGAGATGGGGAGCTCTACTGATCAAGAAGCCTTGAAGATAATCATGAGGACTTTGGATCTTTCTGTACGTACGTCCTCCAAAAAAAAAAAAAACAAACCGTAATTTTTCTTAACTTTAACGGCTAAGAGAAGATCACTAGTTCTTTCTTAAAGATTTGTTTTCTTCTCCTTGCCCTCTCTCAACTAGCAGGAAAATATTAAGTATTCAGCAGCACAAGAGTGATGAGACGGTCATTAATTCATTTCTTTTATACTAAAAAAAGGTCATACATTCCGACATGCTAACACTTTCTCTTCAGGTTGGTGAAAAATTAAAGTGACTTTAAAACACTTCTATGTCATACATTTAATAAAATGCAACTGACATATTAAATAACCATTGCATAAAATTGTATATTTAAGTTGCAACAACTGTGTGTTATTAAAATGGTGTCAACAGGATTCCAGGAGACCAGGTAAGAGGACCCCGTGGCCAATGCCTGACCCACCTTCAAGGATTGGAGAAAGCTGTTCTGAAAAGGCAATATACACGCCCCTCCCCCGCAAAAAAAAACACCATTTGTTGCAAATGTCGAAACTATTTTCAAGTTTTAAATCGTTGAACACTCTTAACTAAATTGACTTTCATAGCAAATAAATATAACCAAGCAAGAGAGGATCATCATGAATTGATTTTCTTTTCTTACCTGGTCCAACAAAATACTATCTTTAAGCGAATCTTAGAAATAAGTATGTATTTAAAAAGAGTACAGACCCAACAATGTCAATGAAAGGGAGCAACTATCTCTTTTGGAATATCAGAATATTTCATCCCTACCCTAAGATAAGTAAAATTCTAGTTGAAAGCTCAAAAAAGAACCAACGAAATGAAACCAAGTAAGAACCTGCCATTCATTTACTATCATTACTCCCTTTTCAGAAAACAAATTTACAAAACAATGTTATAAAAGAAGCGATCAAAAAAAAAATTTGCGGTTGTAGAAATTTATCTCTGAAAATAAACAATCGAGTCACTTACTATAATAACTATATATCACAACTTCTACTTTAAAATGTTTGTACGTATGTCAATAGAGTATATCCAAAGTTATACGCTCTGGAGGGTCAAGCTGCCCCTTATTACCAACGAAGCCCATGATAAATAACCAGTTACAGCTATTTTATAAGCTTGAGAAAGAAGTCTCGCCGCTCAGCTGGGATCAGTGTTACTGAGATAGAGTTATCAGTTTCACTTTGTTCCTCTGAAATCTAAACTAGCTGGGACCTAAGTTACAATATACCTACTTGATACTTAAGGAATATTCCACAGAACTTGGAAGAAAGAAGTGACATGTCACTTTGCTACCAAAGCCGACTTCATTTTTTCAATGAAAAGGCAAAAAAAGGCTCCTTTAAAAATTCCGATGTTAAGGTTTCGCGTTCTTAGCTGCCAGGAGTGGACTAACATTTCAGAGTTTCCGCTCCGGCACACCCAGCCCGAGAGCAGGGACCGGGGGCCCCGGGGGCTCGCCCCGCGGATGGATCCAACTCCTCCGCGCGGGGAGCCAGAACAGCCGGGGAAGCGCAGAGCCGGGGGCTGCCCTGCGCCGAGTCCCGCCCCCGCGCCCTCCCGCCTGGACGGGGACCCCGGCGGCGCCCGCGCTCGCAGAGCTGAACGGGCGCCCGACAGCCCGCGGCAAGCCCGGCGCGGCTTACCTTGAGCACGGGGGTCAGGTACTCGGCCACTTCCAGCGCCTTTCCCTTCACCGTGTTAATCACATTCTGCATCCTGGGGCCGGAGCGGCGGCCGGCCCCGCGATAGGGTGGGGAGGGCAGCGGACTGGGACCACAGAGTCAATCAAGAACGTCCCCGAGGCGGACGATTCGCAGGGACACGCAGCCGGCGGCACCCTAAGCGGCTGCTCGGCACGGGACGCGGGGGAGGGGCGCCCCGCGATCCTCGCGCCGCCGGCGGCGCACGGCGGGCCGGGCCCAGCTGTCACCTGGCCGCGAGGTACGGCGGCTGGGCCCGGGCAGAGCTGGGGGGAGAAGCGGGCACACACTCTTCCCTCCGGCTTCACTCGCACCGCTTCCGGTTCCCCTGCCTCCTCTCACTCTCTCGCCGTAGCTCCGCCGCCACCTGGGCCTCACGTGACGCTTGACTCCCCTCACGTGACACAAAAAGGCCGCGCTGGGCGGGGCCGACAGCCTCTGCCCTCCTTCCGGAAGCGTAACACTGAGCGCGCCTGCGCAATGGGCGCTGGTCCTGCGCTTCCCGCTAGGGAACTGATCTTGCTTTTGGTTCCGGCATAGCAGGCTTGGGTGCAGGGGAGTTTTCGCCTTTGTTTCTCTCATAGCTTCCCCTCCTATGGAACCTAAAACGCTACTTCTGCTATTGCAGAGCTAGATAGTACGAGGTCTATGATGCGCATTCTTCCACTAGAAGATTTCCTGAGGGAGCGAGGTAACCGCGCCCGCGGGAAATGACTGCGCGTGCGTAGGAGCTGGGCGCGCGCAGATGAGATGCCCACTGCGCATGTGCGCCGGGAGGGTTTCCCTGCCGGCGGGCAAACCTGGCCTCCGCGGGAAGGGGCGTTGTCTCTTTGGCGTCCTAGGCAGCGCCCGGCTTGGCTGTGGGTTGGGCTGCTCTGCAGTCCTCACGGACTCTGGGTCATTCCTGCGGGTCCCGGGAGGTTTGGGGCAGGGTAATCCCTGCGTGGGATATCATGTCCTCGCTCTGTCAAGACAGGGTTTTAGACTCCTTGAGTCCCAAGATGAAGCGCTTTTGTTTACTTTCGGTAAAATTGAACAGCACGGTTTCACGTATTTTTATTCTGGTTCTGATAATTCGGTCTTTCCCAGCAAGCTCAGAAGGACTGCTACTGAGGAGGAAATGTACAATTTCAAAATCCTTTTCTTGTACCTCAAAGTTCCTAATAAGAACGCGCAGTTGTTTTTCTGCAGTCCCCAAGTGTCCGTTTCCGGCTTGCTACCTTTGTCATCCTTTCTGACCTGATCCCCTTCTGTCCCAAGAGTACCCCGCCCTGTTTAGAGTTTGACTTTTTCATGTCCTTTCCGTGTAGTTGCTCCTGTACTCCTGAACTATACTGCTCATGCAGTCACAGCCAAATATCTAAAAAGTTATTTTTCTCTTATGTAGTCAGGAGCATTTGCGTCATGCAGAATCATTAAGTCTGACATCAAGAGTTGCTTATGAAAGTGCTCTTCTTTTTTAAGGCAATTAAATGACAGTAGAATGGAAAGAAAATGCTGTAGGCGTCCTGGTTTGTGGTTCCCAACGATGTATACTTTCCTACTGGGTGCTGTATTCATTGGTTTGAGCTCAAGTCGCATCTTATTAGTAAAATATTCTGCCAACGAAGGTAAGTTGAGATGCACAATACATATGGAACACTAAATCGCACATTATGTTTCCTATCTTTGTTTGCCTTGGTTATAAAATGGAGGTGATAATGCTTTATGAAGCATTTGTATCGTGTGAATGATAAAACATTTAAATTTTACTTAAACGTTCTTCTGCAAGAAGTATTTTGCAACTGGATAGAATTTGGGTTACTCAAGTTCAAAATCAAACCCTTTGCATGGAACATATTGTGATATCTGACTACTGCTTCATTCAAGAGGTGTTGGTGAGTCTATAGCAAAATATATAGTTATAACTTATTTTGAAATAGGCAGGAGGTTATATTTGTTTGGTTACGTGGCATTTGTGAATTTGTGTGTCAGTAGGACAATACCTATTAGAAGACTTCTGTAAGTTTGCACTCAAGAACTTTTTAAAATGTAAGGACTTAAGTAAATACTTCAATTCCACAAAACTGTATTGACTATTCCTCACTAGTATTGTTGACAGTGCATTAAAATCATGACATCAGGCTGAAGTTGTGGCTCAGTGGTAGAGCATTTGTCTACCATGCAGAAGCACTGGGTTCAATCCCCAGTACCCCAAAGGAAAAAAAAGAAAAGAAATTTATGAAAAAAACCATGACATCTAACTTAATGGTCTGCTTAGCGAGTAACATGTATATGTAAATTTCAGCTTCAGTTAACATGTACCTGTCAGGCCCTAGGTGAAGCAGTAGAGTTCAAAGTGCATAAGACATAGACTTTGTGCTTAAGAACTTAGTTTATTAGGAGAGACATACATGTAAATACATCATCAAAACACATTACAATAAGTGCAATAGTAGAAGTATTTTGAAGATGCAGAACAGAGGCATGAATAAAGCAGGATATATTGTGTGAACTTGTGGTGCAGAATTACTAAGAAAAAGTTTAAGGACCTGTAGGAGAGAGGAGGAGTACTTGACCAGACAGGAGAGTACCGGTTGGATTGTTAAGGACTTCATATGCCATGCATTATTATGTAGGCCTTAGAGGGTAAAGAATACTTGCATAGTGTTAACAGGAGGATAAATAAGACCCTGTAGTGGTAGCTGGTTGGTAAAGGAAAAGACTGAAAGCAGGTGTTATTGCAAACTCAATACACAGATGATGAAGACTAATTTAGTGCTGTAGGAATGGAAAGAGTCAAGAAATCTCAGAACATAGAAAAGATGTGATTTGGAAAATTATTGAATGTAGGGATTAAAGAAGATAGAATATTGGCTAGCTGAAAGTTTCTGGTTTGAGTTGTAAGTGGATTGATAATGCTTTCAATTGAGATGGGAACTATTACGAGGAAAAGAAGGTTGGACCAAGTTTGGAGAAATTATAGTTTTAGTTAGGTACTTTCCTTTAGGCCGGGAACAATGTCTTCATTTCCTGGAATTTCTACAATGTCCTTTACATCATGTATGTGAAGGAGGTATCAATGAAATGAGTTAATATGAAGTAGTTATATGGATATATTTAGTGAACAGTAGATTAAATGTTCCAGAATATAGATTTGCATACGTTAATATTAAATCGATATTTAAAACCCTAGGAACAGAGGGCTCCTGCAGAATGAGATAAAAGAGCAAGCGACAAATTTTAAGGAATAGCAACATTTAAATGGCAAGCCAATGTTTAGAACATGAAGAAATTGTTCAAAAAGATGTTTTAACTAGGCTTTAATGATAGGGAAAGTTCAGCAAGCAAATATTTAAAATCAGGTATACATTTGTTAAGTGTATAGGGTAGGAAGTGTAGGACGGGTACAGATATGTGGAGATAACCAACATGATCCCTTTCTCATAAGGAACTTACATTTAAAAGGTAAGACGTTCACATGAAAACTATAATACGATTGTAAAAAGTACTATTACAGAGGTTTATAGGTTGTATGACAGGAGTGAGAAAGCAAGGATTCTACATAGATTGAAAAGGGCAAAGGAGACTCCAGAAAAGAGGATTAAAAAGTATTCTGGAGAGAGAGACTGTGAAGTTGCCTTGTGCTTGGGTGGTTTGGGTTTTAATATAACCAAGAGATGAAATGTTTTCAAAAGGAAAGCAAATGCATTTCTGAAAATAATACCCAATAAAGTTTGTATTTGTCTTTGGCAAAATTATAAAGCATTTTTTATAAGCATTTAGAAAAGACAGGTAACAGTTAAGACAAGGCATTCTAAACCAACCTCATTCCTTAATTAATTCATCTGACTTTCTAGCTAGGACGCAGCATCCCAACTCCTCAGTGGGTTTAGAGTATTTTTCTCAGCCCTGGAAGTGGTGAAGCCCTGTGCCAGTTGCTAGTTGCCTGTGCTTCTGATGACTTTCTTCTTTTACTGCAATGCAATTTATCACAGAGAATCAAACAATGTTATGCTTTCTATGTGTACCATGACATGAAATAGATTAGCAAATTGTGAATTAAGGAAATATTGTAGATAAAGTGTACCTTGATTTTAGCAAGGCATACATGTCAGAAGAGTCATAACCTATTAATTCAGCAGATAATATTCATAACTGCTTGCTGATTCAGATGCTGAATGTTGATTAATGGTCTATTCAGAAGCAGTCTAATACCTTGCCAGAGAGCTTTCTTTGACCTTGGTCCTAGCCTCCTCAGCTAATTATTGGTAACCATGTATGAAAACATGAGGTGTGTTTACCAAACTCAAGGATAATAAAAAGTTAAATGGAATGTGAGTAGCTAATACATTGGATGAAATGGTACAGAAATTCAAAAGAGAAAAGCCAACTGGAAGAATTGTAATGTAACCTTTTCTTTTTTTTTTTTTTTGAGACAGTGCCGATAGTCCAGGCTGGCCTTGAAATTGTAATCTTCCTACCCAGCCTCCTGAATGCTGGGATAAATCCAGCATTATGGAGTGGGAGTGGGGTGGAGTGGGGAATAATAAACTCAGGGCCTTTACACTGAGCTACCTCACTAGGCCTTTTCTCAATTTTTTATTTTAAGGCAGAGTCTCACTAAGTTGGTTAAATTGCCCAGCTAGGCTCAGACTTGCATGTTCCTGCCTCATCATACCAGAGTGCTGGGTTTACAGGCGTGCAGCACCACACCCTGCGAAATCCAGCTTTTACAGTTCAAACAATTTCACATTAACTGTACTATAATCATACAGAATAAAGTTTATAGTTAAAACAGCATTTTACTGGGCATGATGGTGCATGCCTGTAATCCCAACACTCGAGAGACTGAGGCAGGAGGAACATTGCAGGTTTGAGGCCAGCCTGGGCTACAAAGTGAGCTCAAGGCCAGCCTGAACTGCATAGTGGGACCCTGTCTCAAAAAGCCAAAAGTAAATAAATAAATTAAAACAGCATTTCTGTTACATTTCAGAGAACAAGTATGATTATCTTCCAACTACCGTGAATATATGCTCAGAATTAGTGAAGCTCATTTTCTGTGTGCTTGTGTCATGCTATGTTATAAAAAAAGGTGAGTCTTGAAATGGTGTTGTATACCTACTAAAAATCACAGAATCCAAAACAGAACTGCATGGAACATTTTATTTCAGTTAGTCTAGTTCATTAATTTTACATATGAGGTACCTAAGACACAAACGTATGTTTTAAAGATGAACAGACAGGCTCAGAGAAAGTGATACACAGAGCTGCATTGGAAGGGGTGAAACTAGGGAACCATCCCATGTTTCCCAGTGTCCTGCTCATAGCCCTGCCTCATCACTTGTTTCTATAATGGTTTCACACACTAAGTTAATTTTAATTCAAAGTGAAGATTTCCTAAATAACTTTGCTGTTTGATTTGATATGTATTATATTGCAAAATGACTCCCATTTCCTATGTGGAAGGCAGTGTAGTATACTAGAGTCAAAGAGATTGTGTTCTGAGAAGATTACATAGGGAAATAAGCTATCTACCTTATATATGCTGTATAGCTTCCTGAGATACACAGTATTAGCTTTTTTTGTGGAACGTACAGGCCGTTATGCTTATTACTTTTCCACCTGAGTTCCTCAGTTATGAGCCCTTAGCTCACTATGTCTTTAATCTATCTTTTCACATGAGGTAAACAGAATTTAAAGCATTAGCGTGCTTACCTAAGAACGTGTTTTCATACTCAACAGAGTATCACAGTCTGTGCAGAGATTCTATTAGTGGAATACGTTTCAGTCTGTGTAGAGTTTCTAGTTAGTAGAATATATTTCATAATTTCATGAAACTCTTGCATTACTTGCAAGGCTTAAACTGCCTTTGTTTGCTAAGCTTTCATTTTACTTTATAGTCTGTATTTCTAAACCTTTAAAAATCTGAAGGTGAGATAATAACTCATGCTAGGATTATTAAAAGTCAGTTGTCCCTAGGTCCACATATACACATTTCCATTTGCTGAGCTCTTGGGAGAGAAGGTCAGCAAATTTCCTGTTTATTCTAACATGTTGATCTCCCTCTTGCTTCAGTGCCTTCAGAGTAGTAGGAAAAACTGCATGTGTATCCTGAGTCACCTTAAATGATACTGCTGCTGCTTTAACAGGTGTTAAGATGATTAGTATTCATAAAGATGTTGCTGATTGTGACTGGTAGGACAAAGAGATGGGTTAGAGACAGACTAATAAAATTCTGTATTATCTTCAATTCTTTTAGCCTAGTAGTCACTTGCAAAGTCAAATTTATAAAGCACCTTTTGAAGAATTGTATCAGTAATCAAATGTAATGTACTTTCTCTAAAAATATAAGCATTCTCATCAAGATTATTTATTTCTTCCTAAATTTCTTCATTTAGAAGATCATCAAAGTAGAAATTTGAGATGTGCTTCCTGGAAGGAGTTCTCTAATTTCATGAAGTGGTCCATTCCCGCTTTTCTTTATTTCCTGGATAACTTGATTGTCTTCTATGTCCTATCCTACCTTCAGCCTGTAAGTAAATATGACAGAAATGACTTTGAACAGACAAGAAAGAAAAATGAGTCCCAGAACTAATCTTTCTTTTTTATCGTTTTTCTGGACTTTATTTCTTACTGCTCTCACTAGCCTTGCTGAAATTTTCCCAGAATTACCTGAATTCTGAATTACTGATCCCCTTGCCAGATCCACTCACTGTTAAAATTTACTATAGTAAATTCTGCTATGTGGGAGTTGCTCTCTGGCTGAGGAATCTGAAGCTAGCTTTTGTTGAATAACCTTAATCAGGTTCCTTATTTTCTAAGTCACCCCAGGACCAACCTCTCCTTTCAGTCTCAGCATCTAAGACCTCCAAGCAAACTTGCATGCTTAACTCAAAGAATTATACACTCGGTGGACCTCTCTTGTATCTGTTTTTGTAGTTTATGCTTTTTATTTGTATTTCTTCTTTCAATGGTACCATTTAAGCAGCAATTTCTGTGAAAGCAGGATTCCATCCTCCTGATTATAAAAGCCATCTAATAACTGATAATCCTACCTCTCTTGAAATTTTTTGTGTCAATTTGGGAAGCATTACTAATCAGAATTGGAGTTAGTTCTTAAACTGTTACTCAGTTTGAGTCACAGGTATATTTCCCTCTTCTGTTTTATAAAATGAAGATTTTTATTGCCTTTATTACCAAAATGCATTCTCAGTTCCTTTTGAAAGGTAAAATTAGGCATTTTGATTATAAATAGGATTTTTATTTTGACCAGTTCTTTATATGAAACCCCTTAAGTATAACCAAATCAGTTTTAGAACAGTTTAGGAGGGCTACTATAGGAAACAGGAGTTCGATATTTTTTCACAGTTTAGAACCTGTGTAACTAGGCAGGCCCCAACTGCTGTAAGTTTCAGATACCCTATCTGAATAATAATAACAATAACAACAATAATAATAATAATAATACAGATGAGAGTCAGGGACGTGGGCTACTTGATAACCTGAAGCTCCTTCCAGCCATATGATCCATACTGGCAGTAAATACCCAGTCCATCTAGACTGTGTCCTCCCCTAAATTCTTGTTTCCACTTTTCCTGTATCCAACAAACATAATTATTCACATTTAATAAATAATATTTGTACTTTTTTATTTTATTACTATGTTTGAAGTACATGCATTTCACAGTCATCCTGGGGAGTTGGTACATGTACATGATATAGCTTGTTTCTTTTTCTAATCCCCTTCCCTCTCCCTTCCTCCCTCCTCCTCTAGTTCTCCTTTTCCTCTTCCCATTCTTGTTGATATTATTAATCTTAGTTCATGTTTATGGCACATAATGTCCACTCTTGAGGTTGTCAGGACCTTGTACGTGCCATATTTTTTGTTGTATTTTTTTGTATCCAGCAGATTACCTTTACCTTTATACCCCTCTTCTGCAACGGCAGTATCAAAACAGAATTGCGACTTCCTTTTCTTTTGTATTTATTGCTTTGTTCTTCCTTCCTGATTCTGTACAACCACAGATACTATAAATCGTGACATACTCTATATATTTCTGAGTCTATTTAAGGAACTAGAGGTACATGGGGATTTGGGGACAAAGATCTCAGATGTTTGATTTATTTATTATTTATGGAAAGAGTTTGCAGAATTCATCAAGCTCGCCAGGCTATGTATATTTGCACTGCCCTTAATGTTATTCTGGGTCACTACTTTCCTACTCTCAGCAGCCACTTTCCTCAATCTTTTTTTTACTTATCTCTTAGCTGGGGGTTTACAAGGATTTGTCTTGCAGAGAAGTATACTGAGAAAATAATTCAGAGTCACCCAACACAAATGATGAGTGGTTAAGAAGGTGGAAATGCTAATGCCTTTAATTTGATCATTATACAATATATACCTCGACCAAATTATTACACTTTATACCCTATAATAACATATAGTCATGTGTCAATTAAAATTTTACAATTTCTAAAAATTTCAGCAGAAAAGCAGCAATGTTATTATTGGAAATACTGTTTTTATAGTGTTTTCTTTAGCTGGATATTAGCCATATTTGCTGTTATAAGACTTAATATAATAGCTAGCAGGTAGGAAGAATTCATGCTAAGAATTATTAATATTGTCAGGTTCAATTATGGAGAGCAGTGATAGAATTTTATACTTTCTCAGAAAAATGCACATGTTCAGATTATTATGTGAACTCCGACTGAATTCACAGAATCACTGTCAAATATGGCTCACATGTTTGTAAGTGTTTAGAATAATTTGGATCAACCCAAAAAACTGTCAAATATGATTTTAGCTTTGAGTTATATCAAGGGGGAAAATTGATTCAACTTTTAGGACAGTAAGGATTCTTAAAAATCTGCCTAAATTTTCTTCTAATATAAATAAGCCTAACAATACCACCCTTCTGTTTACCTGTAAAAGTAGTTTAAATGTTTATGAAATAGTTTGAGAGCTTGAAAAGTGTGGTCACTATTATTTCTAGACCTAAACCTTTAAAATGCATAAGTATTTCCAGAACTACACATGCCATGTGTTTATACAGGCACTGCCTGAATTTAAGCACATATTTTCAAACCCTGCATAATTATTTGATCATATCTGTATAAATTTAAACAGCAATAAACATGGAATTTGATCCTCTAGTGAAACAGCTGCCCTAATAACCCCTCTGGTTGTGACTAAAAGGCTTTATTGTCAGATGAACTAGCAAGCTAGGAGATTTCTGAGGTCAGTACTCTGTTTGAATTGTAACTCTGTCTTCTCTTTCTTTCTAGGCCATGGCTGTTATCTTCTCAAATTTTAGCATTATAACAACAGCTCTTCTATTCAGGATAGTGCTGAAGTAAGTAACTTGATGTGAAAGCATGGATCATGCTTAAAAATGGCACAACCTGTTTTTACAGAGCACTAAACCCTCAGAATCCCAAGGCCAAGATTTTGATCCTAATTGACTTTGTGTATTGCATACATTATTTACCCCACCTAGAAAGCAGCTCCAAAACTAGCCTGTTTAAATCCTCTGGGATCAGATTTATGAATTGTCTTGAGCAAACCAAAAATAAGATAAGGTATTGGCTGTTATGCTTGTTATTTTAATTTTAGTGTCAGACTTTCAACACAGAATTCACGAGCTGTTTATCCACAATATCTATACACTAATAGGAACCAAGATTTTCTTAAGATATTTAATTCCTATTTTGGAGTTTGGAAATGATAAGGTGTGGCAAATTCTTTATTAAATTACTTGAGATAAATATGTTTTAAAGTCTAACTGGCAAGCAGTTTGCATGAGGATTCTAATCAAAGCTAGTAAGGTCATATTCTTTCTGCCTTTGTATCATATTCCTTCTAAAAGTTGCAGCACAGCCTATTTTCTGAAAAACTATTCAGTAGTCCTCTTGGAGCTAGTAAAGATTGGATGATAGGATTTCTAAAATTTAAAAATATATTAACCTTATATTAACTGTTGGCTATGTGTGCTATGCTGTGGCAGATAATTGGTCTATAATTTGCTGCTGATTTGAGGCTTTGAGGGTGCCTGAGATTAAGAGCAATGGACTAATTAATCTAGCTGAATAGATTTCAAGGTAGTCCTGTGTTCAGGTGATGGCATGGGTACTATTGTGGGCTTTCGATCACCTCTATCTTTAAATGTTAAAAGTACATTGGAATTTGCTTTTTGTATCTCATTCTTCATTTTAGTTGTGAATTGTTAAAATAGTTCTGTAACTAACAAATTAAAAAAGTGCTATTCCAAACATATTTTGAAGTTTTTGAAATCAATGTGAAACTAAGGATAAAAATTGACTACTAAGGGTATATATGTGTAAGAAACAATATTTTTATGTTGATTCCTAGTACAGAGTTAGAGATGCACGTCCAAGAAGAAAAAAAGTTGGTTTTAACAAAGCACAATTTTTAATAAGGGAATAAGACTCTTAAAATATAGTCAATTTTTTGTGAACTGATAGTTCATAAATGTACATAGTACAGTACTCAAGATATTATATAATGTACAAATATTATTGTAAAATTACATTAAATTAAAACTGATTAACTCAGTTTTTAAAAACTGATAAACTCATGTATCTATTACCCGGCTTAAAATTGGTTAATAGTTTCAGCTGTCCGTTATAGTAAATCTAGTTAAATTTTAAACATTTAATGAATTATTTAAAAACTTCAAATAATTCACATTCAAATATATTTATACTCTAAATTTTAAATGTTTAGTTTTAATTTTACTAATTATAATAATTTCATTTTGCTAATATTAGTAATAACATTGACGTGAACTAAGTTAAAAGTTTTTTTCAGCTAATTTACCTCTTATTTTCAGAGCAATATTGATTCTTTAATGTGCTTGTTTTATTGCTAACATATCTCTATTATGAATTCTTGGAAATAATTATACTGAAGAACAATAAAAATGCTCCATTTTTATTATTTGTGTAATTGTATACTTTGTTTCTAGAGTGTCTATGTTTATCTGATTCAGAAATCAGCCCTGAAGTGTCTCTGAATTATAGAACTACCATAATGTACTAGTAAATCTAATACTGTGTTTTATGAGAATGCCTTTTTTATTTATCAGTGCATGTTGTAGTATAATAATGTTTACATTCCTTGTGAGGTATTGGGACATGTAGATACTGTATCTTAATTCCTTTTTTCATCCCTTTTCCCTTCCTCTTCATCTCTTTCCCACCATCTTTTGATCCATTTTCCTTTTGAGAAAGATGTCTCCCTGCTTCCTATTGTCTTTTATTCTTCTCTTTAGAGGTATTTATACTTTTGAGTTTCTCATATAGGAGAAACCATGTGATATTTAAGCTTGTGTTAACATTGTTTTATTTATGTGATATTTAAGCTTTTGTTAACATTATTTTACTCAACATTATGGTTTCACAGTACATTCATTTTCCTACAAAAGCCTCCAGTTTTGATTCCCAGATGTCAGAGTAGTACTCCACTCTGTATAAATACCACATTTTCTTTATCCATTCACCTGTTAATGGACAGACAGCTTCCAAAATTTAGCTATTATGAATTGTGCTGCTATATACATAGCTATGCATGCATCACTGAACTATGATATCTTTAATACTAGAAGGGGAAGAACTGGGTCAAATGGAATTTCTAGTTTCAGTTGTTTGATGAATCACCACGTAGATTTCCATAGTGGTTGTAGTAGTTTACATTCCTACCAAAAATGTAGGAGAGTTCCTTTTTCTCATCTTCTCTAGCATTTGTTATTTGATTTCTGATGATGGCCATTCTTTTCAAGATAAGGTAGAATCTCAGTGTTGTTTCAATTTGTATTTCTTTAATGACCAGTGATGTTGAGTCTTTCTTCATGTATTTATTGGCCATTTGCACTTCTTCCATGAAGTGTTTATTCATTTTACTTGCCTATTTTTTGACTGAGTCTTTTATTGGGGGGGATTCTAATGCTTTTATTTCTTTATATATTCTAGATATGAGCATTCTATCTGAGGAAGGGCTAGCAAATTTTTCTTCCATTTCTGTGGGTTTTCTTTTCACTCCATTGGTGGTTCTTTTGCTGTGCAGAATCTTTTTGATTTGATATGATTCCATTTGTTGATTCTTGGGACCGTTTTCTGTGCAGCTGGTGTTCTGTTTGGAAAGTCCTTGCCTAAAGCCTGTGATTTCAAGAGTTTCACCTACTCTGTCTTCCAGCAGATTAAGTGTTTCTGTTTTAACATTTAGTTTTGTTCATGATGAGAGATATGTGTCTAGATTCAGTCTTCTGCATGTGGATAGTCTGTTTTCCCAACACCATTTATTAAAGAGGCTTTTTTCCCCCAGTGTTTGTTTTTGGTCCCTTTGTCAGAGATCACATGTGCTTGGTGTTGTTCCTGCATCCTGTATTTTTTCTATTGATCTCATGTCTGTTTTGTTCTAGTACCATGCTGTTTTTATCATAGTAGCTTTGTAATATGTATAACTTTAGGTCTAGGATTGTGATGCCTCCCACTTTGCTCTCTTTAACCCAGGATTGCTTTTGCTGCTCTGGGTCTCATCTGGTTCCATATGAATTTGAGGGCCATTTTCTTCACTATTGTGAAGAATGCTGTTGGATCTTTATTGGAATTGTATATCAATTTTGGAAGTACGATTATTTTTACAATGGTTCTGCCTATCCAGGAACAGGGGATTTTTTTTTTTAAATTTTTGGAGCCCTCTTTGATTGCCTTTTGCAGAATACTATAGTTTTCATTATAGACATCTTTCACTTGGTTAGGTTCATTCCTAAATATTTAATTATTCTTGGTGCTATTGTGAATGATATTTTTTTCTAATTTTTCACTGGATTTATTATTACTGTACAGAAATACTACTGATGTTTTATCCTGCTACATTCCTGAAGTTGGTTATTAATTGTGAGAGTCTTTGTGGATTTGGGCAGAGTCTTCTTTGTAGAGGATCATATCATCTACAAATAGTGATAATTTGACTTCTTCCTTTCTTGTACATACCTCCTTCGTGTGTTTTTCTTGCCTAGTTGCTTTTGATAATGTTTCAGGTACTCTGTTGGACAGAAGTGGTGATAGCAGACATCCTTGTCTTTTTCCTGATTTTAGAGGGAAAGCTTCAGTTTTTCCCTATGTAATATGATATGGGCCATTGGTTTGTCATATATGGGTTTTATCAGACTGAGATAAGGTCCTTCTATATCTATTTTCATCAGTGTTTTTTATCATGAAAGCGTGTTAGATTTTGTGAGGCTTTTTCTCTGTCTATGGAGATAATCATGTGATTTTTGTTTTTGCTTCTCTTTATGTGATATGTTACATTTATTGATTTGAGTGTGTCAAACCATCCTTGCATACATAGGCTAAAGCAAATTTGGTCAGTATGTATGATCTTTTTTATGTTTCATTGTGTTCTATTTGGCAGTATCTTGTTGAGGATTTTTGCATGTATATTTATTAATGAAATTGGTCTAAATTTTTCTTTTTTGGTTGGAGCTTTTTCTGATTTTGGAATCAGAATAATGGTAGCTCCCAGGTATGACTTCAGGAGTACTCTTTTTCAATTTCATTAAAAAGCTTGAGGGGTATTTGTGTTAGAATTTCCCTGTAGTTTTTGCAGAATTCAGCAGTGATCCCATCTGGGTTTGGGCTTGTCTCACTTGGTAGCTTACTTATTACTACTTCTATTTCATCACCTTTTTTGGATTAGTCAAAGTTTTTAAATCTTCTAGGTTCAATTTTGGTAATTCATGTATATCTGGGAATGTATCCATTTCTTCTGAATTCTCCAATTTATTGGCATACAGATTTGCAAAGTAGTTGTTAATGATGTTTTTTATTTTAGCTGTGCCTGTTGTAATTTTTACCTTTTTTCATTTCTTGTGTTGATTTGGACCTTTGCTTTTTTTTTTTTTTTGGTTAGGTTGGGTAAGGGTTTGTCTTCTGTTTATTCCTTAGAAGAACCAACTCTTCAATTCACTAATTCTTTGTATTTTTTTGGTCTCAATTTCATTGATTTCTGTTCTGATCTTTGTAATTGCCTTTCTCATACTAGCTTTGATTTGGCTTGTTCTCATATTTCTAGGACCTTGAGGTATATCATTAGGTGATTTATTTGGCTTTGCTTTGTTTTTGTGATGTGGGCATTCACAGCTATTTCCTCGTAGGACTGCTTTCATTGTATCCTATAAGTTCCGGTATGTTGTACTGGCATCATTTAGCTTTAGAAACTGTCTTACTTCTTCCTTGACTTCTACTGTAACCCATTGTTTACTTGAGTATATTGTTTAGTTTCTATGTATTTGCATAATTTCTGTGTTTTCCTTTGCCCTTGATTTCTAACTTC